TTTTAACTTCAGAGTATAGCAATGTATCATTCAACATTTTAGATCTTAACATTTTTATCAAAGATGGACTCATTCAAATGAAAACTTTTTTTAAAAAGGAATGCACTAACACTATAATTGATCAATCCAGCTGCCACTAAAAGCCTTGGCTAGACGGTATCCCTAAAAGTCAATTCCTCTGTCTTCACTGTACCTGCTCCCAAACTAATGACTTTATAACACAATCCACCTCATTAAAAAAATATGTTTATCGAGAAAAATTACCCTTCAGATAAATTAGATGCAGCTCTTAATGTGGTCATTAGCAAAGAGAGGAAAGATTTGTTAGAATACAAAAGTAATAGTGATAAAGAAAAAGACCCTCTGACACTACCCATCATTCTTGATGTTAATAGTAAAAACAAAGTAATGAAAAAGATAAATAAACATTGGCATATCCTTAAACAAGATGATCTCCTAAAGGACCAAATTCCAGACAGACCTCATATCATATTTAGAGGAGCCCCTAGTTTCAAAAGTATTCTTACTAGGAACTACACTCAAAAAAAAAAAATAAAGAACACCAAAAGTTCTCCAAAAACCAAAACCTAAAGGTTTCTTCAAGTGTAACAAATGTATTGTGTGCAAAACCACAGACCCAACAATTAAATCCCAAACTACTTATTTCTCCTCTACAAATACTGGAAAAACGTATTCAATTTTTATGACTTCATCGGATGCAACTCTAAGAATATTATTTATCTGCTAGAGTGTCCGTGCGGTCTCCAATATATAGGTATGACTAAAAGATGTGTAAAAACAAGACTTGCAGAGCATTGTCGAAACATCATCAAAGGGTATGAAAACCATTCTGTGTCAAGACATTTTATAAAACATAATAAGGACCCTAAATGATAAAAATTTATCGGGATTGAACAATGCAATACCCCCTGGAGAGGTGGCAATATGAGAAGAATCCTAGGTAAAAGAGAAATTAATTGGGTGTTTCAGCTAAAGACTCTATCTCTCCAGAAGGTATTAATGTCGAATTTGATCTTTTTAATTTTTATAAATTATAAATATAGATTTTTTTATAATATATATAATTTTATAACATACATTTTTTTCATCATACTTTTTACCCTTGTGTTTCTTTATCATTTTAACCCCAATTTTTTTAAATATCCATTTTTTTCTCTCAGCATCTTATTTATATTTAATATTATTTTCATCCTTATTTTAATTTTAATTTTTATCTCTATT